CAGAGCAGCAGTGGACAAGCCGAGGCAGCCAAGCGGACGTTTTGAGGAAAAACATGCCGCCGGCCGGAGTTTTGTTGCTGATCTTGGTTGGCTGGGCGGAAGAGCTTGAGCGTAGGAGCCAAAGAAGGCACTGAAAGACAATCATGCTTGTTGCAATGCAGGAGATTGGAACAGTCACAGCACCGAAAATCATACGAGCCAAGCAAGCCACTCAAAAAGAATCGTGCGCATCATTGATGCCCGGCCGGGCCGGCGTGGCGAGCATCATGGGCATCATTGGGGCGCGGCCGGCCCGCGAGGCGAGCATCATGAGCATCATTGGCGGCTCGTTTCTCTATTCCAGGGCAAGCCGAAACACTCCCTTTTCATGCCCGAAAAGGAGCAGCTCCAGTCTAGCTCGGGAAACTGGCACCGTTTGACAGGAGTTCGGGGGGCAACCTTCGGTTGATAAGAAACTCCGCTAGCCGAGGAGGCTAGCTTTCTTGATTAGTATATGTTTGTGTATATATATATATATATACATACATACATACATACATACATACATACATACATACATACATATATATATATATAGATAGATAGATAGATTTGTATATTACATGCTTATACATCTATATAGTTATACAGTCACATACAGACGCACTTCTATATGTATGTGTACTTTTACATACATATATATATATATATATACATATATATATATATACATATATATATATATATACATACATACATATATGTACGTACGCACGTACATACACACATACGTATATAAATAAATCGGTCTATCTACCTGTCTACCTATCTAGCTATCTATTTGCCTATCTATTTGTCTATCTATATTTCGAGATTTACATGTTTGTATACTTGCATTTTCATTTCTGTATTTGCTAATTTATACATGCTCTCACAAAAAGATTCACAGCTACTGCATGTAACGATGTCCCAGTCTCAACGACAAACCGTGAACCCAAAGCCTGGACATGCCTATACCCTGTACCCGGAAACCGGCATGGCAAGGAGCCACAGGTAGATGTAGCGTCTCCAGTAACGCTTCTGCATCACCTGACACAGCTCCCGAGTTAAGGGCATCACCATCAGCAACCTGATTCCTGACCCACACCCTGAGTGTTAGCCTTAACCTCAGTGTCACCCTCATCATCGTCATCATCACCTCCATCGTCCTGCTTCTTATGCCCATCCGCAGCCTCATCGTCCGTGGTAACATCAGGACTGTCGTCATGAGTTACTGGCCACTACAGGCCCAACCATCAGCACCGGAAACTGCTCTAGCACCACCCTTCACCCTCCTAGTTCTCCTCCTCCTCCTTATTGCCTTTATCGCTGCCAGGCTCTTGCTAGTACCAGCCATAGTTGCAGAAGACGTAGGGGGAGTAGCAGCATTGTTGGCGTCATTGGGTTTGGAGCTTCATTTGAGCGGTGTTTGGCTCAGGGTTTCCGAACCAAGCCTGCTCAGCCGCTTGCTCAGATCAAGGCGAGATGGCTTTGGGCGCAGGGCTCAAGTTGCTACTCGTGACACGAGTCTAAGCTTTGTACACGAAAAAGACCTTCGAAAACCTCCGAAACCGGCACCAGCTCCAACAAGGTTTTGCCCGATCCGACCGTACCAGACGATTGCACGAAGTGGGGCGAACTCCCCACAGCCCTTCATGTGAACCATTCACAGAACTCCACCTGCGGTGCTGAGCAACCCGCCGGTGGCTTGCATTTGACTGCGCGCTCATAGGTCTGCAAAAAATCGAGGCTCACGGGTTGTGTTACTCGGACTCAAGGGCTCGGACGGAACTCTCAGGCCTGTATGGCTTAGGGTCTAGGCTTCGGGCTTGAGAACCTTGCAGCTTTGCTGTAACTGCAATGGTCGAGGTGCAAGGAGCTCGGCATCTTCATGCTGACGAAAATCGCTCTTTTTTTAGGTAGGTTGCGGCTTCAAAGCTCTCGCGGGTACGGGTCTCGATCTGGAATTTAGGCTTGTGAGCTTCATGTCGTTCAGGCAGCAAGGTTTTTCCGGCTCGAGAAACCTGACACCCAACAACCACTTTGTGCACAAGCATCTAGGACCCCTGGAGACAGCGAAATTGACACCGAGACAAGCCGCGCAGATCAGGCTCTAAGGTGCAAGGGTCCAGCGCCCAATGCACAGTCTGTAAACTGTGCGGAGACGTTAGACTGACATTCAGGCCACTTCACTCTTGTTGCAACCATGACTAAGACATCAACCACTCTCGGCTGCAGAGCCAAGCAGTACAGCAGCAGCAGGAGTGGCGATTTGTCGTCACAGTCGTCGGAAGCTGTGGTGCGAGTAGTAGTCATCGTCGTCGGTGTGGAGCTGGTGGTAGGTGTAGTAGTACTAGAAGTAGGAGTAGTAGTAGTAGTAGTAGTAGTAGTAGTAGTAGTGTAGCAGCAGCAGCAGCAGCAGCAGCAGCAGCAGCAGCAGGAGTAGTAGTAGTAGTAGTAGTAGTAGTAGTAGCAGTAGTAACTTAGCAGTAGTCGAGGTGGTAGTTATAGTGGTGATAGTAGTACTGATGAGTAGTGGCAGTATCACATTGGTCCAGGCATCGTTGTCGATCGACTTCGGAATGCCCACAATGCTCACTGCAAGCCTTCGCTTTCCTCACCGTGTCGTGTTTAAAATGAGGAGGCTGAAATTGGACAGACATGTGGTCAGAAATACAGATTGTCACACTACCAGGCAACCATGCTGGCTCCCAGCAAAGGCTCGAGCTGCCTCGTATAGCAAGTTCCCTGCAAACTGGGTACCATCACCGCCCACCAAGAAGAGGACGGTGATGCCTGCAAACTCTGCACGGATTTCCCTGATCTGAGGAATGTGCAAAGCCTTGTGTTCGACACGAAACCGCCAACCTGCCAACGATGAGCATAACGTTTACCAATCTCCCGACCGGCCAACTGTTTCGAAATGTGGAGTCTTGGAGCCTAGGTGAGTCTGGCTCCAGAGGTATTCCGCAGCCGTTTATGAGTTCGTTGCAATGTAACCTTGTGCAAGAGCCACTCAGTGCCACTCATCACCAGTGACCCGGAACCAGCATGAACCAGGCCGACCCTGTCTCACGCCACGGCACCGAGCCGCTGCAAGTTGTCACAGATCTTCTCGGCGTCGAAACCACCCCTGGCGACAAGTCTCTAGGACTCTAGGATCTCTCGAGGTTAAGAACCTTTACATGTGGTGCTCTGTCGTCTGTCGGAGACCGAAAAGCCGATCATGTCTCTACTGCTTTCTCGATCTTCCTCTCCACGGCATGAGAAGTGGTGGAAAGCTCTTACACAGCCAGGCCCGAGCTTGAGAAGTGGGGGGGCTTTAGGGGCCAAATACAATATAACATAATATAATGCCCTACAGTATAACATAATGTCATACAATACAATATAACCAACATAATACAAAGTAATATAATATAGTATGATATAGTATAATGTAGTATCATATAGTATAATATTGTATCATTGTATCATCTAATATAATGGCCTTGCCTTGCGGCTTTGATGATGCTTCCGCCCTTCATGTGGATGTCGCGAACCATCTCCTCCGTGAGCTTCACGGGAGGATGGGTCTCCGGATCACTGAGGCCATTGTAGCCGGCGGTGATCCCCAGAATCTCGCGAACCCCGTACTCCTTGCATTGCGCGCGCCAGGAGCGAACCCAGAAAGAGAGCACTAACCCCAAAATCCTTCACCGCTGAACCCCGAAGTCCTAAACCTCCGAATGGCACCTAACCGCCTTAAGCCTCTATGCCAAGTCACATTCCACAGGCACTTCGTCACGCCGCGAATGATGGAGTTCAGACCGGGGCAAAGCCCACCGCAAGTGACCACGGCGGCCTTAACCTGACGCTGATAGTCGGCTCTAAGAGCAGCACAGGTGCCACAGATACTGGAGCACTGTAGGGCTCCTTCAATGGATAACTTGTAGGGCTCCTTCAAAGGATAACTTCCAAATTCTAAATACCTACCTATAAACCATACATCCCTGAGTTTGGCCTGCGGGGCTGTAGGCGAGGGTTTGAATGGATTCTGGGCCACCTGACCTTGTTGGGCTCCCAGAAGAGCTGCCGGGCAGCATTGGCTCCTCGGGCTTCGCTTCGTTCAGGGTGCGGGGTGGGAGATAGAATTGGGAGTTTCCGAGAATTAGGGTACCTTATTTGGGGGCCCTTATAATAAGGATCCTACTATTTAGGGTACTATATTAGGGTCCCCTATTTTCGGAAACCCCCAATTCAGAGTGGCTTAGAGCTTTCAGTTTTTGAGCGTGGTCAAGATAACATATGATATTGGATGTCTCATCTCTGTTGTCGGCTTGGCTGTGTCCCATCTTCCCGCCCCTTCCCTCCAGGGAAGGCCGAGGCACGCAAGCAACCGGAGCTCAGCAGCGGGTTCGACCTCTGTTCTGAGTTCTGGATGATGTTGCCCGCGACCTGAGAACTCCCTCAATTTGGTTGTCTCAAGGAAAGCGCATGTGGGTAATTCTCTAAATTACAGTCCTTTTTTAGGTCCCCAATATAGTACGGCACCCTTAATAAAAAAAGAACCCTAAAAGGGACCCTAATTTTGANNCCCTTTAAGGGGTACCCTTAATAATACTACCTATGTCCTCAGTCGCACAAAGAACCACTGGCGAGGATCCCCGGCCGTACATGAACAGGCAATCCTGGATGTTGCTCGGGAATCCCTTCTCTGAGATGAAGAACATTGAGTCATATTGACATGGGAGTTTCCGAGAATTGGGGGTACCTTAAATTTTGGGGTCCTTATAATAAGGATCCTATTATTCAGGGTACTATAATAGGGGGGTCCCCTATTTTCGGAGACCCCCATATTGACATAATACCAGGAACTTTCATAAGCGAACCCACCCTCACACAGGGAGATACTTGCAAGCTACTCCAAGGTAGAGCCCGAGCTGCTGGAAAAGCTCGCGCCATGGGGTTAGAGACTTTGTTCACGGCCGGCTCATCTACGGAGCCTTCGAAATGGGCTTCTCTGCCGGAGGGGCGGGGGCCCTCTGAAAATGAGGGGTGGCAGTGCCTTGCTGGAAAGTTTCTGGGTCCTTATGTCATATGTCAAGAATCCAACAGGCTCTGCATCGGGGGTCGGTTCTTGCCTCAAACTCCCCAAGTTGGTAGCTGCAAGGCCCTAAAAAGCCAAAGCATGTGACTGGCCCGCCTGACTCGGCATCCTGCCATGTCGCCAAATGGCATCTCCTGTGCAAGCTCGCCTACGAAGAGAATGAGCGACTCAGAATGCCAGGTTGGATCCGCAGATGTCTCTTTGCCACTTTTGATATCTTGAGCTAGTGACCGGCTTAGAGAACGATCCGTCTGCAGCATTCAGGCTCTCCAACTCCCTAAACCTTATAAGCTGAATCCGAAGCCCCACTCAAGTACTCGTCCCGCCTCAGATCGGCTGAGTCGCTGAGCGGGGCGGCCATGGTCAGGAGAGCTAGAGGGGAAAGCACACGGGTATATTGCTTCCTATCAAACGTTTCTGCAGCATACCCCTGGAACATACCCCTTGGAAGAGGCAAGGCATGAGAAAGACAATACAAAGTCAACAAAATCCTTGGTGCTTCGCGCCCCTGACCAAGGGCGCGCCTCTTCTTTGGCATCGTAATTGCGAGCGCTTCGCCGGAGTGCGGATGTCTTGGGGTTTTCTGCCGGGGGAGCTCCGGCTGCTTGCGAGACTCTCCCGTCTCGCAGCATGGAGGCCTCCCGGCATCTCCCGGCCTTATAAAAACCTTGTCTATGGGGCGTCTCAGGAATGTGTGGCAAATGGTAAAAACGGTTCAAACCAAAACTCAGTCAAAGACAGCAACATGGTATGATGACATGGTGCGCTTACCGGCGCGTTGGCTTGAATCAAAATGAACAGATTGGCAAAGGATTGCCCCTGAACGCTTGTCGCGTCGCAAGTCTTTGTCAATCAGGCAATTTGGGACTTTCCGAAAATAGGGGACCCTAATATAGTACCCTAAATAATAGGATCCCTATTATAAGGACCCCAAAATAAGGTACCCCAATTTTCTGACATTCCCATTTGGTCGGAATTGTATGCCAGAGCGGCTCCTGGGTTCAGAGAGCAGCTCCAGCCGCCCCGGGCCGCCACAGTTGTATGGGTAGATTCTGGGTTTGGTCTGGTGAGTCTGGTCTT